TTTTCTTGGGGGGGGGGGGAGAGAGAGAGAACACATAGGAATTAATGCATCAATATTTATAGAGAGAGAGTGTAACAGCAATTAAGACAAGAAAAAACTTCCTACTGGATTAAGTGAAAAGCCTTGAAGATGTGATGTTTTAAAGATGTACTCGTAAGCTCATGCATTACAATTAAAAAAAAATAATATCTTTAATTTCTTTAACCGCATACTAATTACATAATTTTGAAAGAAAAAAAACGATCACAAAAGTGCTTTTTTTTAATTTCAGAAAATTATATACAATTAAGTGCATTAACATTATATCGATGGTAAATTTTGGGTAATTTTTTAGCTTACATGTTTCAAGAGACCATTATCTCAAAACACATTAAAAAAGTCTGGTACTGCCATCTGATGCATAGATTGAGAAATAAACTATTCTTGGTACATGAAATATATTGTTTTTACATTTTTTGGCTTTACTTTTTGACACTGTATCCCAGATAGATCACGAGCACGAGAAATTGAGCACACTAAAATATACAATTAAAGGCAGAAAGAAGAGTTACAAAAATTGAATATTTAAGTCATGAGAAAAATACATGCACTTATCAATTTTCTCCAAATAAATTTTAACTGCTTATTTTTATTTATTCAAATGAATAAAATAATTTTTTTTTAAGAAATGACTTTATTGCCTGCTTTGGCAAAATAAAAGTTAACATTTCCTATGCAAATATTTATATTTTTTATAACAAATATTTATATTTTTTATTATAAAATTTTATTTTCTTTTATTTCATACATAGATACAAATTTTTAAAAAATAGGCACAGAATATTATGTTATATTATACAAATATAATGTAAATATTTTAAAAAGTGTAAAACAGCTATGATTTATGATATTAAAGAAATATTTGTTCAACTTACTTCACAGTTCACAAACAGGATTTTTCACCTTTAACAGAGATAACACAATCTGAAAAATATAAGAGGTGTAATAATTGAAAAATATTAGCTGATTCAGCCTTTTTCAGAAAAACAAAATTAGTGAATACAACCTTCATATCCTTCCAACATGCATAAACATCTAACTGGAATTGATATTAAAGAAAATAAATAAGTAAAATGAATTACTAATCTTATAAATGACAGAGAACAAAATATAACACAGAAGGACTCAGAAAACGGCAAAATGCTCACTGAATCCAAATTCAAAGTTAGCACCAAAAAAAAAAAAATTTTAACATTAAAAGCTGCTTTTTTACTTAGTTTAATGACAAAATGCAATTTTTTTCTCGCTTTTTACATAAAAGATTTAAAATTTTTAATTTTTTCTTTTATGGATAAACTTTTTGTTTTGACATTTTAAACAGCTGAATAAAAAGAAGGTTTTCAAGGAAAGATATAGACAGAGAACTGAGCTTTCCTTACAAGTGACTCCAAAACCAAGAGTGTTCTGTAACCAGTTCAGAACGTTTCTGAAAGTATTTTAACCCTTCACAAAATTCCACCCTTATCGTCTAGAAACAAGACAGGTTAACCTTGCACCTGGTCTTTGATCTGGTTGGCCTTCCCCCTTTTATCTGAAGGCTGCACCAGATTTAAACAGCTTTCAAAATTATTAAACAATTTCAAAATGTTGGCAAAACATATTTCACAATTATGTGCAAAAATACCTTTTTAACAATTGATAGTTTTGTTATTGTTTTGAATAATACTTAGATAAGCCAAGCTTTCCAGCCATTGACCTTGTGAATAAAGTCATGAAGAACCTTTCGTCTTGATAATATGTTAAAAGAGTACCTTTCTTTAATACCCCCAGAGGAGTGCTTGGTTATATCATGAAGTTGTCCACTAAGGTGAAAGTTTGACTTAGCTTGAAAACACCCAATAGATGACAGCACTACTAATTTGTAGGACCACATCCACTATTTAGATAGATGTGAGGGGGAAGGAAATTTTTCTCCAGATCCCCGTACTCATGATAGTGCTCAGCGACTGATCACAGGATTTCATGAGCACGTATATCTCTTTTACTAGGAGGGCCACAGTGACTTTGAGGATCGAGACCTAGCCTCTGCAAACCCAAGTCTGAAGCTCTAATCACTGAGCTGCTACAGCCTCAAGAAATGTAAATTGTGCAAAGATAAAAACCATTATACACTCATTATGAGTTGGCCATGCTACCCAATACACTAATTTGCTTTTTATAGTGTACTATGCAACATTACTTTAGTTTTAAATGTAGCATAGTGTACTGTGCTCACTTTTTTATCATATCATACTTTTAAAAATAATTCTCAGGGTAAGTCCAAGAAAATTTTTAAAAAAATTACTCGTTAAAAGGATACATTGTACCAAACAAAACATTCGATTTCGCTTATTAAATATGTAATCACTTTGAATTTAAGCTTGTTATAAAATAATTTCTACAGTTTATATTTATATACACACTATTAATAAAATAAAAACGTACTACAGACAGTTTATTTTTATTTAAAAGAAAGTAAGGAACTCAGAAGGCTTAAGTTAGAGCCAACAATTATTATAGTTGCACAGGTAGCTTAAAGAGTTAAAGATTATAATTGATAATTTATTTGCATGAAAAAGAGATACATCAAACTTGACTACGCTGAAAAAAAAAATCTAGACTAATATGAAGTTGTATATTACTAGAGATGCCAACTTGCTCCACTTTGTAAAATAGTATTTTGTAGTGGTAGCAAAATTTAAGTTAATTTTAGTTCACGTATTTATCATTTTAAGTTATTTTTTCACCACTAAATATAAAAAAATTATAAGTATGATATAAAATACAACGTCTAAGCATCAATCTACTGGTTACTATATTAAAATGTAGGCGTAACTAACATTTTTTAACGAAATTTACAATATAATCTGCAACCACTTTATTAAAACTATTCAAGAAAGCGGAGCAGTTGGCATCCCTGTATTACTAGTGCAAAACCCTCACAAATCAAGTTCAACATACAAAATGTAACTATAATAAGAACTGTGAGTTGTTATGGATTTTGCCAAAACAAACTATTTGTAACATGCAAAAGAATATAGAGAGAAGCCCAGCACTTTGAATACATTACTTTCATGGGAAAAGACTCAGTACTCTGCGACAAGCGAGAAAAAGCAATTCATAGGGCTAGCAACGTATTCAGATTTAGCATATAGTAAGTTGTTAGGAACTAGGACATCTAGAACAATAGCAGGATCTAAAATATGAGATAAAATATTTAATCTAAAACGAGTCCATTTTTTGCCACACTATTTAACAGTAAAATATAGCATGAAATTTTTTTNCAATCTACTGGTTACTATATTAAAATGTAGGCGTAACTAACATTTTTTAACGAAATTTACAATATAATCTGCAACCACTTTATTAAAACTATTCAAGAAAGCGGAGCAGTTGGCATCCCTGTATTACTAGTGCAAAACCCTCACAAATCAAGTTCAACATACAAAATGTAACTATAATAAGAACTGTGAGTTGTTATGGATTTTGCCAAAACAAACTATTTGTAACATGCAAAAGAATATAGAGAGAAGCCCAGCACTTTGAATACATTACTTTCATGGGAAAAGACTCAGTACTCTGCGACAAGCCAGAAAAAGCAATTCATAGGGCTAGCAACGTATTCAGATTTAGCATATAGTAAGTTGTTAGGAACTAGGACATCTAGAACATTAGCAGGATCTAAAATATGAGATAATAAAATATTTAATCTAAAACGAGTCCATTTTTTGCCACACTATTTAACAGTAAAATATAGCATGAAATTTTTTTTTTTTTAAAATTATCTCATGCAGAAGAATCCCAAAAACTTTTATTTTTATTACATTAATGATTTTTACAGGTATGTGTAATTTATGTTAACATTATTCTTAATTTTAACATAGAAAATGTAAATAAATATTATGATTATTTCTTAAACAGTGTCAGTAATATTTTTTTTACATTGTGATTACTTGAACAACTTGGGAGAATAATATTCATGATTGGGAAATCCTTAAAAACATACTGAAACAACTTTTTTGAGAGGAAAAAATGAAAAAAAAACAAGCAAAACAAACTTTGAAAAAAAAAATTTCCCATTTTTAGAATATTCTTGCTTTATATCAGTAGTAAATTTTTATTATGAAAAAAAGTACTCATTGTAAAATTAAAAATAAACTTACAAGTTTAATCACAACTACCCTGAATCCTACTCTTTATTTTATTCTCTTAAAAAAACAATTTATTATTATTGGCAAATACTAGTAAGAATTAAAAAGGTAAAAAGCAAAACAAAATGTAGTTTTTCAACTTATCTGATAGGATTATAAAAATGCAATAAATTTTAGTTTATCTATTAGTTTATTTTTTTAATCAACAAGATAGTAAAAAAAAATCTACAAGAGTAAAAATATTTATTAAATAAAAAATGTAAAAACATGGCTTTTAAAATTATTTTACCTTTTGATTGTAACTGGTGCAAGAGGCATGCCAGAACAAGATGTTAGCCTGCTAATTGCTATATAAAAAAGGTTTTACCATGAATATTAAAACATAATTTAAAAATAAATATAGATAAATAAATATTGAAAAATTTTAAAATGAAAATATAACATCATTAAAACTCTTTTAATTTATTAAGTATTAATTTACTTAAAAAGGAAAATTATTTCAATGTACAGGGTGTCTATCAGGTCCACCCTCTTCCCCCAAAGAAAAATTCATGGCCTCAAAAGAAATTTTTATGACTTTCTACACAATATTTTGCTTCCAATTTTTTTTTTATAGAAATTATTCAGTTTATGTAAATATTATTGAATGCATTTTACATTCATGTGATTAGTAAAATATAAAAACCAAAGGAAATCTTTCAATTAATCAGACATACTAATGTTTTATTGTGTAGAATCTTAGTGACATGCTTTTCTGAAGCATGCATTATTCAAATAGGAATATAGAATAATACCAAGGTTGGGTTTTTACATCAAAAACTATCCAAATCTTTTAAAAATTTGGGGAAAGTTTCATTTAAGTTATTGAGAACATTTTATTAACACAACTTCCATAATAATTCATATTATATATCATATGCATTGTCATTGGGGGGGACCACCTTATATTACCATTTATATATAGGGGAGAGTTGGATAAAACGGGATACCATTATTGTTAATATATACTACGGAATATCTGTTCAGGAAAACCATACATTATTTTTTTTGTAGCTACAACATTTATCGAAGTACACAAAAAACATATTTTAAACTAATTTTACTGACTGTGAAATAGAAAAAAAAATTAATTTCCAAACTCTTACATATCCCGTTTTAGCATACCTGGGTTGGATAAAACGGGATAGGGTTTACAATGTTTAAATTTTTGCATATATATAAATATAAAATTATAAATAATGCAAATATATTAATAATATTGTTTATACATAAAAAAGCTCAAGTCTTCATCAGAGAAATACATTACAATTAGTTCTAAAGAAAGATGTGAAATCTTAGAGTCGAAAATTAAATGCTTAATAATGAACGTTAATAAATATGGCTATTTTAAAAGGTAATAATCCAACAAATAAATAGGTGGATAAAACGGGACATAAAAAACTCTATCCCGTTTTATCCAACTCACAAGTATCCCGTTTTGTCCGACTCCGACACTTTTTGAAACAAACATGGCTGCTGCCTAAATATGAAAAGAAAATTAGATAGACTGCACATCAAAATATTGGTAAATAAATGATTAATTAAATTTAATACTCACCGGAATTTTATTCCCATATATGTAGGCAGTACAATGTAAAAAACAACGCACGTAAATGTAGAAAATGGCTAAAAAATAGAGTAAAAAAGTTCTGAGACTTATAACTTTCTATCAAATAGTAATCTCGAGGCGGGACGCACAGAGAAAGATATAATCACGGTCGAATAACACGTTTCTGTCGTTGTCCACTAGATAGCTGCAATAGTCTGATCCCAAGGCGACGTATCCCGTTTTGTTCGACTATCCCGTTTTATCCAACTCTCCCCTATATATAATTATAATTTATTATAACTACTTTAAGAATATGTAAAAAATTGCATGTTTTACAATTTACTTTATCAGTTATTTTTTTACTTTATCAAATAAACAATAAAATGTCGCAAATGATTATAAAAAATTATTTTGTAAGTGGAATTATATCTTTACATAAAGAAACTTAATAATTGTATGGAAAAGATTTTTGATTCATAATTGATTTAGATATGGGAAAATACGCATAAAATAAAATTAATAAGAGGCCCTAACTTTAGCCTGCTCTGACTGAACTATTTTTTTTTTCAAATTGCGGTTACCCATTATATTTTGATGAATTTAATTCCGTTTATTGCTCATTTGAAGAAAGGTTAGAAAAACATTTACAATATTATTTTGTAATCATTTTGTTATTTTTTGATGCAGTTGTTAATGTATCAAGATGTATTTTCCTTTTTACAAATACTTTTTTTATACAATAAATATTTTTATATAATAAATACTTTTATGAAAAAACCCAAATTATTTTTTTTACGGAAAATAAAATATAATTTTTTCCTCTAAATATTAGGTTAACTCCCCAAATATTGAGGGGGTTGCGCCACCAATAATCATAGGTAAGAAATATAGACAAAATTTTTGAAACTATTAATAGGTTTCTCCAAAAATCATGGTACTTCTAAAACTTAAAGATCAATATCTTTGTTATGTTATAACCATTCACAGGGCCCGCGCTGAGGACTTCACATTGTTAGCCAGTAAATTAGCCAAATATAAAAAGTATTAAACAATTTTCAAAATTCTAAACCAAAGGAAAAACTTTCTTATTATTGATTTTTTCTCCTAAAAAAACTTTAAATCCAAATTTAACATAAAGTTAATTATTTTATCAAAATACAAATTAAGAGTCGTTTTGCAGTAGGAGTAAATGAGCATTGAATTTGAAAGAAATAGGTTGGGATTGATTTTTGATAACCTCTCAGATTAGTGCAATAATATAAGGCCACAACTTAGATTCTTTAGAGTACATAAAACTAAATTAGTTGCCAAAATAGTTTGATCTCAACACAAAATATTTTTTTCTGATTTTCAATATTAGTTGTTGATACTATTTATATGCAGGAGATCAGAACATGTCTAAACACGCAAATGAGGTTTTGGGAGAAATTCAGATAATTGTGGGAAATTTTTGGTCTAAAACATTCTTACAAGAAATTTTATTGTTAAACAATAAATTGCGTCTGTAAAATTTTTCCTTTGTTAAAAACAAAATCACAAGTCTATTGCAGAATTAACTAGCTTGAATTCCTTAAGTTTGTGAGTTTTAAAATTAAATTAATTTTACTATTTCAATATATTTTGATTTCTATCATTTTCAACAGATATGCTTGTTTATACAAGAATTGTGTGAAATCAAACGAATTTTTTTCCTACATAAGCTTCACTTTCCAAAAATATTTTTTAAAAAAATTATTGTACTAAAATAAAAATGCTGAAATTTTTCGGAGAAATTTTGATCTAAAAAGAAACTTTGTTAGGCAAGGAGAATGTTCTGCACTCCAGCTTATATGCCCATGAATATTTTTAATAAATCTTGACTGTAACATATTCTCTAATAAGTAAAAAAAAATTATTTAAAAAAAATATAAATGCTTGATTAAATGAATTAATAATTTTGTGTACTTTTATTTTTAATAATTTTACACATTTTTATTTATAATTATTTAATATTTCCTACACCAAGATTTTGGTTTTGAGAATTATTGTAAAACAAAAAGAGAGTTTAATATCAAAATAATTCAAGAACCTAATTGTTTGTTCACATGTAATTTTATATGCATGTTTATTTATAAATACTTTAAATTTATAATAGCTGACCTTGAATAACAGATTTAAAATACTTTTAAATTCTTCAAAAAATTATATTTTTCTTCTGCATATTCTGACTTTCTCCATGGAGCAATTAGACAGATTCTAATAAGTACAAAAATAAATTTAGTATGTTATCAAATAGTTTTAAATTATCTCTATTTCAGCTTTTCTCATAAAATTTTCATTAGAAGAGAAAGAAATACAAGCTCAGAATAAATTCTTGTAAAATAATCTATAAAACTTACATAAAAATACTTTATTGTTCTTAGTATGCACTTAGTGCTACCATTATTCAAAATTTAAACTTTTGCATTTTTATTTGCAAGGCTGAAAATCAGTTTCCAATTTAAAAATGGTTTTTCAGTTACTGATTTATTATTCTTTATGGTTAGGAGAAATATATTAAGTTTCATTTGAGATACTATTCACACACTTATTGCTTTACAAATTAGTCTGATCATCAATCACTTTCTGCTTTTTCTGTAAATTTGAGAAAATAATTTTTTTTTTTTTACATTTCCCAGCTAAGTTATTTTTAAATCTTAGAGCATTAAGCTTCAATTAAACTAAATTTTCTCTGCGGTGGAATAAAAAGCCCTTCAATTGTGATTACATGTTTGACACATTAAAAAAATTAAAGTATTTCCCAGGGCTCGAAAAACCGCCCGTCCGCGGCGGTCAAAAATTCCCTGCGGACAACTAATTTCTCGAATCCGACGTCCGCACGGATGGCCATTTTCCCGTCTTGAACTTTGTCATTTAAATTATTTCATAAAAGAAAGAAATTGCTTCATAAAAGAAAGAAATTATTTCATAAAAGAAATACTAGGTTACTATCAGTAACCTAGTATTTCTTTTATTACTGTATAATGTAATCCTAGTAACTACAAATTCATTGTGCAATTTATATAAATGTTTATAATAAATAAGTGAAAATTACATTTTTATTTATTTAGAAGCTATGGGTTAGTTTCAAAGGAGGACGGGTACATTGTTGGACAAGCCGTCCTCAGGGTCGGGGAAAATTTCTGAGTGTTTTCGAGCCCTGTTATTCCCGTCAATTTTTTGAAACGTCCATATATTAAGTTAATTACATAGTTTTTAAATCCCCTACATAATTTCTCAAATTTAATAAAGTCTATTTGACTCACAAACTTTGTATTTGAGTAATTATTTCATGCACTTAGTTTGGAATGATTCCACCGCTTATGATTTTGTAACACTAACAATCTTTTTTTTACGAAATATTCTGTTATTTCTTTTCTTTCCTAATTCCAAAATTTTTAATATAATATGGTACACAAATGTGATTAATCACTTTTTGATGCTCTTGATCTCAATGATTTATTCTCCAGAAATGTGATTGCTGAAAGAACTCTTAAATTTTTTTCATCATGTGAAGTTTTTTTTCTCTTATACATAGAAAATAAAAGATTAATTTTTTTGCATAAATGTAACATTTACAAAATTTAAAGAAAGAAAATGTTTCTTTATCTAATAAGATTGAAACACAAATTTATAATGGTACTGAGTGCATTAAAAAGTGACTACTGAAATATGTGATTCAAGATTTCTATGCAGTTATATCATATACAAAATTAATTCGATCTAATTGTAGCTAAATAAATCACATTGATTAAATCATTCTTCTAATACAAATCAAAATCTTCAACAATATTGCTACTCAATAAGATATAATTTTAAAAAAATGAGATAAAAAATTTTCTAGCGAACAATCTTTCAAAGGAAATCTTTTCGCCCACTAGGTTTGTGAGCGAACTATCCAGAAACAATGCACTATATACAGCCCGCTAGCTATTGGCGTGCGGTCGCGCCTGAATGTTTAAAAAATAAACAATTTATTTAGGAAAATTAAAAGAATTAGAAATTTTGATTGTGCATTGAAAAAATTGAATTGTGCATCTAAATTTTAAACGCATAAAAGCTACATCAATGTGTATCTGTGATCATGTTTTTCGGTGGTTATCACTACAAATTTCCAGGGTTAAAAATTTTAATAGGACAAATTATTATGCTTTAATATCCAACTTTAGTACTCATTTTTGAAGTTCTTTTCATATTTAATCTAAGATCGTGCCTTAGAAGGTTATATTGCAGGACATGTACCATAAAATCTCAATCCTTTTAACATCATAATAAAACAGTTAGAGAATTTTGAATTGGTAAATAGATGTAACTTTTGAAGTGCTTTATGTTTCAATTTTATCATATTTTTCCCTTGTTTTTATGGCAACACGCATTTCCACAAGGTTTTGAAAATTTCGATATATTTATAATATGAATTAATGCAACATTCAAATCAGATATTTCCAATGGACACTTTATTTGCACCAAATTTAAAGAAAATCTAAGATATTTTTTTTATCAATCTTAAAACAGTTTTCTAGAAGGTTTAAAAAATCCTGATATTTATT